TTAGTTTGGCCTTGCAAATTATTAGTTAAACATATACTTTTGTATGTAAATCATGTAGTGTGCTTACACGTAATAGTCTGCTATTTCTACAGTTGAGATTTCTTTTGAAAAGTTTATCACAGTGACAGATAGCCTGCAATTCCTTTATGTGCTCCAAGTGAGAATTTAGCACCAACTGTAAACGATCAATTGCTTTGAGTGATAATTTACCTCTGAATTATAGATGATGTCTAAGATTTCTAGTCTGATGACACATAGATGTACGTGCACTAAGAGATTGTTTGGTTAGACTGCATTTTGATGCGTGATGAATTTACGGTTTTTCTTTTTAGACCCAAAGGTTTACTATGAGTTATGTTTAAATTCATTTACTCATCTTTGTCTCTTTAGACCCAATCAATTTTATGTATTTATCTTTAAATTCAAATTCTCAAACACACTTCCAAAAAAACTATTAAAAAATCCTTTTTTTCCTTTCTTTTTCCCATTTAATTCTCTCCCACCTCATTTGCTCTCTTATTTCATTCTTTAGCTCTCATAAGCTTATTAAATACTCCTCAACCCCCATAATTTTTGTTATGTCAAAATTTCAGGAAAAACTAATCGTTAGGAATTTTATAGAGATTAATCTGCGTAATTAAATACTAAACAAATAACTGCACCAATGAAATTACCACACGCAAACAAACACCAAGATTTAATGTGGTTCGACAAATCGTGCCTACGTCCACGGGGCAATCCAGAGAGCAATATTTCACTATCAATCGAGAGTACAATCCCTCAAAATTACACCCGAACTTGAGGATCAAATTACAAGAGAAAAATAGAGCATTACCTCTAGGGTATCAAAATCCTAAAACCCGTCTCACCATAAATCTCCAACTCTTGCAGAGAAGTCAACATCGTACCCTCGACGATGTTGTTATTCTGAAAATAACGACTTTTGGATCACTGCAATTGGACAACCTAGCTATCTAGAATCTTAACTTTACTCTCTCTCTCTCTCTCTCCCCTCAAAATTCGCGCAGCCCCTCAACAAACTTTTCTTGGGTTACTGTAGCTAAAAAAAGAATTAATCTCAGGGTGATAGATGACACGTGCATATAAAGAAATCATGAATTCCTTTTCCTAGTCGAAGTGGGGTCAACCTCCCATCCACTTTTGTTGCAAATAGAATGCAACATGGGCCTTATTATTAATCAATGGGCCACCCAAAATATTGGGCTTCATCCCAACATTATCCTCCTACAACCCAATGAGGGGGTATGTCAATTTATGACTCCTCACTGAGAGTTCATGTCGGCCAATTGCCGACAGAACTCGTTCTTCTCTCTAGAAACAGTATTCGTTAAGAAATTTGCTGGATTTTAATCTGTTTTATCCTGGAGTGGAATGTAGAATCTTGCTCAAATCAAGAGTGCTCTGACCATCAATGAAAACTTGATAATTATCCTGCGGCAAACCTAATTCCTGTAGAAATTTTCTCAACCAAGCCATCTCCTTACCAACTTTTGTAGCTGTAATATATATTTTCTCTATTGTAGACGAAGCAACTCACTTCTGCAACCTGGACTGACAAGATACGGCTCCCCCTACAAAAGTGAACAACCAACCTGAGTTAGACTTCCTGTGATCGAGATCACCTGCCATATGCGCATCTGCAAAACCATGTAATACTGCATTCGAATCTCCAAAACTCAAACAAAATCTAGAACTACTTTTTAAATATTCCAAGATTTATTTTACACCTTCTCAATAAACTTTTCTTGGAGTAGAAAGAAATCCGCTCACAATACCAACTGCATGAGCAATTATTGGCCGAGTGTAAACCATAGCATACATCAAACTCCCTAAAGCTAAAGTGTAAGGAATATTCTCCATATCACTCTTTTCCTTATTTTTAGTTGGGAAAAACTTCTTGCTAAGCTTCAAATGACTTGCAAGAGAAGTAGCATCTTTTATAGTGAATCTATCAAGCAACCCTTCAACATATTTCTTGATGCGGCATAATTATGTACCAAAATTACAAGTGCACAATTGATCAAGTTATAGTATAAAAAGTTATCGATCCCACGAGGAAGGTAATTTTAAGAGATTATTAGAATTGGTTCTTATGTTTTGTGCATGACAAAAACAGGATTAAAGAATAAGTGTGAGAGTTATGATGAGTGAGAGTGATTGTTTTGAATATATGCAAGAAACAATAAATTGAATTTTAGAGGAGAGAAGAAAGAATGAAATCACAAGGCAAGAAAAAAGAATGAATAAAATCAAGAAATAAAATCAAGAATGAAAAGAAAATTCAAGAAAGTCAAGATGGAGGATTCAATTAAAGATATGAGAAATCTAGAATTTAATCCACTAGCTAATCTGAATTACAAAATACAAACTATTCTCTATTTATCATATTTCAACTTAGATTTATTAAGCATAGACTATCAAACTATTTAAGGAAAGTATACCCTATCAAATTATCATCTAAGTCAAAATTACTATTCATGATAAGAACAACAACAAGATAGTAATCCTAGAATTCATAAGCATAACCTATCAAACCATTTAAGATAAGTATAGATTATCAAATTCTTCTTCTACCAATTAGTTTTCTAGTTGATTATCCTAAACATGAATATTTTAAGTAAAAGAGAATAATTCATACAATATAAAGGAAATTAGACTAGCTTCATATAATTCTAAGATTCCTACAAGAATTAATTTTACATCTTAAGAAATAAAAGCAAGAAGAAAAATAACTAATTACAAAAAGAAAAAGAAAAGAAAAATCTAAACTATGAACAAGAAATAAATCTAACTACAAAGAATTAAAATCTAAACTACAAAATAAATTACAAAAATTAAATGTAAGAAAATAAATCTACTCTACAAATTAAAGTGTAAAAAAAAATAAAAAGACAAGAAAATAAATCTACACTACAAGCATGAATGTAAATCTAAGTAATAAGCAATAATAAAGAATTACTAAAAAGAAATAAAAGAGAAAAATAAAAGAAAAGCAAACCTTCAAACTTTTCTTCATCTCCATCATCATCATCCAACAAAGAGAAGAAGATTTGAAGTGAAGAAATTTTTTTTATTAATTGTAACAAAAGTAACAAATTTGGATGGCCTTCTCAATTAAGAGTTACCTTCCTCTCCAAATGGAGTTATAAAATTTTTCACATCCCTAACCCCTCACTCTCTACCCCTATTTATAGTAAACATCAGTGAATGAGAGCCATTTGATTGAAATCTTATCCAAAAATAATAAATTTCAGCCCTTAATTCGTAACAAACTGTACGTTAGTATACCGGCATCGATACGGGTATCGATGCTGGCATCGATACCCAATCCTCTCCTGTTGCTGTCTGAGCTTTTCTCTTGTACTTGGACTCTTAGGCTTTTGGGCTTTGCCATTTCTTCTTCTTTTTAGCTTTGGGCTTTTGGATAATTTGGCAATTGATTTTCCAATGGGCTTCTTTGCTTCATTTCTTCATTTATTCAAGGGGTTTTTGTTAAGAGATGAGAGTTTGAGATTTATTCTTCATTAACCTGTAATTAAAGATAAAAACAATTATTAGTAGTATATTTATTCATATAAAATAGATAATGAGGGTATAAAATTATAATAAAATATGATTATCAAATACCCCCACACCTAAACTTTTGCTAGTCCTCTAGCAAAGAAAATAAAAATAAAATCCTAACTCACTTTCGCAGGCATCGTGATTGTATTTAGCACATACAACAAGCCTTTAAACCCCTAGGTTACCCTAGTGGACGAGTTGTAGTCTCGTGAGGGTTTGCAGTAAATATACCCACAAAATTTGGTCAACTTACCAAGTTAAATAAGTCAGTAAATAACTAATTTTCCTTGATATATTTAGACATTCTTGTAGGCGTCGAAAATTACCTATAGGTCTCCACGAACAGCTCGAATCTAAGAGAAGACGATGAACGTAACTATCCAAGTCACATAAGTTTAATTGATGTCGATGAACGCTTGAAGTGAATCGACGAACTATGTGAAGCAACAGAATTTTAGAATAACGAGGATACGAACTGATCGGGAGCCCCGCGTTGCTTACAAAAGGTGAACGCCCCTCGTATCTCAGTTTATTCCACAATGATCCAATCATCGGAGCTTATAGATCTCCTTACCGGCTTTCCAACGCACTTTGAATCACTCAAATCCGACTTCGGATGAAGAAGTTACGACGAAAATGGACAAGCTCGCAAAACGGACTATCTCAGCCTAAGCTAAGAGACCCCGAGGTGTCTCGGCCCAAGCCGAGACACCCAAGGGTGTCTCGGTTTGGGCTGAGACACCCAAAGGTGTCTCGGCTTGGGTCGAGACACCCGAGGGTGTCCTGGACCCTAAAAATCAGATTTTTTTTATTGTTATGCAGTTTTAACCGCCTGGATTCCCCGGAGCCTATAAATATAGCCCCAGAACCCTCATTTTTTCGGATCTGGAATTTTTGGAGAATTGGCGAAGCCCTGTTGGATTGAAAATTGATCGAGTTCTTCAGCATAGGAGAGAAAGGTTCTTCAGATCTACATCGCCCATGTCTGTTCCTTAGGATTATCCCGTTGCGGTAATGTTAAGACGAGCAATTATCTTGCCGTTGTCGAGATAAGCACTTCTGCTTCTAGATTCCTTCACGAATCAATAAAGTTTTGGATCTGATCTAATTGTCAGGTGGTCCACGGATATTGACGTCCCCATCACCGGCCAAAAACCCACGCAAGCAAGAGACGACGAATGGATCTTGTGTTATTTTCTAGAGAGAGTTGTAATTCCTTTATTTCTTTCTTTTGTTGATTATTTGAATTCTTTGTAAACGACTAAAGTTATAATAAATTCAGTAATAAAGGCAACTTTCAGTGAAAACAAACTGGCGACCACAGTGGGAGCCAACAGCCTCGCTGTCGAGGCTGTCGTGATGCAACCGGCAATCAAGATCCGGGTGAATGAAGAGATCGAATATG